CACACCCCTAGATCGAAATCAGAGGGTACACGATTTTCTGGGACCAAAAAGGTCTCTAGCACAGAGAGAGGTCGAATGCTTGGCCCCAGCAAGCAACTCACACCCTCCTGAAATCGTCACGGTCACATACCAGATTTCTCGAGCCACCAAGTGCTCCATCTCAAGGTAGGTCGAATGCTCGGCTGTATTTTGAAACTGGAAGAAGACCTTATTAGTTAGGGTTTAGTTGTTCCTGACGTTGCATTTTTAAAGGTTAGAATAAAGAGTATAAAAACGACGTACAGACTCGAGTTGTTGAAGGTAATCCCACTATCCATCTTCGCAGACCTCACTCGACGGCTTCTAACGACGCACTGGCGGGCGCGAACGAGAAGATAGCGGCACCTTCTACTCTCCTCGTGTGTACAGGCTTACTAGCCAGATAGTCACCAAGCGACCGACACTAGCCAGATTTACTAGCCGTATGCACTATCCCTGTGTACAAGCACCTTAACCGTCATGGCAAACATTCCACTTTAATTCATGTTTTCGGAATATTTCAAAGAATAATTGAATATCGTCTGGAATCCACTTTGTTGGTTAGAAACATCTCTCAAACAAGCCATGATTCACTTGGCCCAAGATACTTCACAAGAGCGGCACAAATGCTCCCACAATGGCTGCATCAGCGCTACTAGCCACCTCTCCAGCCCAGAAATTCACCTTGTTCGCCACACGCCAGCACACGGTACACAATTCCGCGACACACTTAGAAAGAGCTCTCAATCTGTCAATCATGCCAGAGTGCTGGCCTGGTAAGATGGCCCGTGTTGAGTCAAATTAAGCCGCAGGCTCCACGTAAATTAAAGCAACACATCGTTGTCCCTCTCGGCCGCGTCTCAGGCACTTGCCGGCGCATGCCTCTGAAGCGGCTGAACCCCTATACACGAGGATAGTAGCGTGGACAGTTCAAGCGGCGGATGAACTAGCGGCTAGTACTATCCCTGTGTACAGGCACCTTTACAGTATAATTTGATAAGATTAAACTAATAATTAGCAGGTTTTGTCAGTGACTGGTAAATCAGTAACGGAGCGATTGTTTTAATTAACTGAAAGTAAGAAACGTAAGATTTGTAGGGAGCTGAATGAGTCAAGTTTAAAAAAAATTTAAGGCTACGAATATCGAATTAGACCCCAAACACGACTGTTTTAATAGAATGCTCACCGAGACTGATACTCACATTTTCAATGGACTATCAGAAAAAACGCATTTTATAGAGATAGTGCCAAGTGCCGACGTCTTATGCGACAGTTACTTTCTGAATGAGCACTTGCTAAATATCACACGATTTTCCCCAAGTCAAATTTTACTCAAGTTTTGAACTGCAATAATGATTTTATAGCATAAAATCATAAATAAAATGATAAAAAAAGATTTTATAGCATAAAATCATACTGCAGTATAACTCTGTAAGATAATCAAGAGGAGAGCATTTACAAATTTTACACTGATAAAATTAGTAGTAGTAGTTGTAGTAGAATGGTTTGCTAGCGCTTCAGCTTTCAAGCTATTTCGCGCCGGAGGTCAAAATGTAACATCGCCAGAAGGCGGAAGGTCTCAATTATTCAGTCTCGAATTATTCATCACCTACAAGGAGCGGAAGGTCTCAGATGTCCAGCCCGCTGAAGCTGGCTCGAGAGAAGCAGCGTTAGCATCTCTAAAAGACGAAGTGACAAGGAGGGACAGGTGATAAGCAACAGTAACTAAGACACTCGAACAAGAGGTCGCTTACACGGGACGTCGGCCGCCCGCACGAGAGAGACAGAGAAGGGAAATGTAAGGAACCCTACCTTCATAATAACTTAACCCCATAACTGAGACCAGCGGTCAGACACCGCGAGCTCAGCGGTAGGGCGCTCAGGAACTTATAAATTACAAACCAATTCAATTACAACTCAGTTAATTCCAACATATGATTAATGAAGCTGCATCAAAAGTTCTAAATTAAGATTTCATTAAAACAAATGAAATATTTGTCCGTTTAATAACACCGTAAACGGCATAGTCTATATTTCAAGCAAAAATTTGCCTTCAAAACTCTGTTAAGGCCAGTTAAAAGATCCATGAAATTCGTTCCACAAAGAACTCACACTCAACGATACAAATCCCGTGAAATATAAATCCATAATTCGCAAATGTAAAATCTTGCACACCTTACCGCTCAGGCGAAAATTAAAAAGGTTGACGAGGTTGAAGAATATCACTCTATAAACTGAACTATTTTATGCTATGAACACTTCTTTGGTGACAAGTGCCGTCGCAGGCATGGCCCTCAGGCGCTCTGTTGTACCATTTGAGGCCAGATTATATTTGAAAATGTACGGACATGAACTACAAATAGTTCTTAGATTTCCTCGAAAATAATATGCGCAACAATAATTTATCAAGAAGTTCATAGAAAAATATACTTCTGTCACGAATATAATGTGAAAATCTAGGCGACTTATTTGATCTCGTTTCTATGTACTGAAAAACAAACGTGAGAAATTTTCATCCTAGTTGTATACGAAAAAATTTCAGGCATGAAGAAGTCCATAGAATTCATCAAGTCCATAAATCATTAGTGATGTCAAAAAATCATTCCTCGCAAGAGATGATAAAGGAAAACGGTTCACCTTTTGTTAACAATAACTCTTAATATTAAAGCCAAGAACCACAAGCTAACAACCACAGGCAACAATGCATCACTGGACGGTTCATCATACAGCGAGCACACGTTGCTTCACTGCAACGTGCGAAAAAAGGTACACAAAGAATTTATACACACAATATATGCTGCCAGCAGTAAAATATGAACGTAGGCTATATGAACGTTTTGGGGGAAATTTTGTTTAGCATTCAGTTAAAATTGACAGACATTTTGAATAAATGCCGGAAACCGACAAGGGAATATAGGTCGTGAAAAATATCTTTAGTATTTTCAGACACTCGAAATGCTGCACAATGTTAAAGGTAACAGGCAATTACGAACGATAACAACCTTTTATCATATACAGATTTTGGCGATCATTTAGAGATTCTCCTTAACAAGTAAAAGATGGCCGACCGCCCTGCAGTGGAACAGGTTAGTGGCACTCACATATTCCTTCACAACGGCAAAAATAATTGTATACAACGACGAGCGTGTGAGCTCTCATTTCACAATGGATACCACAACCATAGGATAGATAAGCTAACAAATTAGTTAACTCGCTTGGAAAAATGATCAAATTATTATTATTTAAGACCACTCTATCAAATGAGCCAAGACTCACGCGAAAACAAGGTCATAGTTCATTACCAACGACACAAATACTTCTGGTGCATCAGCTTACAACTTTATACTAGACGATATCATTGCCAAAGACTTTCAACTAATTGCGTATATAAGCACTTTCATAAGAATACAACTAAGTTCTTCATTAAATGAAAAATGCATTAGTAGTTCAAGATATTCAGAGTTACGCGCGAGCAAGCAAAAGACTACCCTTTATGTTCCCGACGTACTATATATATATATATAAGCGTTTCCTAGCGTAACATTGAAAATATATTCCGACTAGAGCTAATGCTTCCATGGCGTTATAGTGCAAGGCAACGTGAGCAATTGAGGTGCAAGCACTGAGTGCAGAGCTCGCAATGATTAGGAAAAAGTTCGATTTATTTCATGGTAACATGAGAATGACAAAATTATCATTTGAGTTTGATGTGAGCTTGGAAATCATTCACATGTTAAACAAATTTTCCTTGAAGAATAAGTCAGCTCTAGTAAAGGTGCCAGACTACCACATCTAGAGAAGTTGTTCAACAAATCTTGAGAAGTAAAGACATACGAAGATAATACGAGATAACTAAAAGATTTCAATCAATAGATCAGAAGCAAACTCGGCATCTTCTGACAAGCTAAGTACATAAAGTGAATCACGAGCTGCTCTAAGGTAAGGTCGTGATAAGAAAATCAATAGTGATACAAATTCGTGCGAACTCGATGTCCTTAACATATAAACATACCGGAAAACGGAGGCCAAAACTATCAAGGAGAGTAAAAGAGTTTAGATCCAAGAAGAGACTCAAGAAAATCGTGTAGAACAATACATACAATAAAAAAGCATATCAACCACAAAATTTATGTTCATATCCCCGAAAAAATATACTAAAACCGTCCAGATTTAAAAAATTTATCTCAGAATATTGTAATTTAAACAAAACAATATAATTTATAATTTGATAGACGGTCAATGTCGGAGAGCAGAAGTAAACCGCCAGAACATTCATGGGAAATTCTGCTTTCATAACTAATCATTTCATTCAAAATTTACAAGCTTCAAAAGCAACGAAGAGTTCCGAGCCCCCAGCTATAAAGCATCTATCTATAACAAAAAAAGTTGTCCCATTAACATGAAAAGGAAGTAGTAATTGTTAGGCATGAGGAGATGAGGTAACTTGTCATTATCACGCTCAACTTAAAGCATGAAAAACACTGACTTTAAATCTCGAGTCAAAGGTTATTTTTACAGGGCATTACAAGAGACTTTAGCAGGCACAGGAAACGCTACAGCAGTGAATAACATAAGTCCCGAAACAATACAGATTGAACGGAGAAATTTGCGTCAAATGGGTTGTGTGATAGGAAGAAAAATAATTTGATAAAATTTAAATAAATAAAATGCACCAGAAGTAACGTTCCGAACACTAAGAAAGGAAGAAATAAATAAAGAAACAATTACAGTAAATTTTCTGTGATGAGCTAACAAAGCGACTTACTTAACTGCTTTAAATAGCTTCCAATTAGTCTATGAACTTCCTTTCCTCAAAAAAAGCTTCATACGCATGAAAAATGTCTTGAGAAACTTCATGCACAGAATAAAAAAGAAAAAAATTATTTCTAGGTACTTAATACGATTAAAGTAACATATTCCATGCATGATAGCGAAGATAGCAAGAGTTTACTCATCTTTCTCAGTTGCATTAGTTCACAAAATGCAATAAACTCCAAGTAATTGTAGTACATCAAGTCAGAATGGTAATTACGCATAGTCGTATACCAATGACACCAAAACTCAGTGAAAAGAATTGAAGAACAACGAGAGGTCGCTGCAACAGAGTGACTATTATTAAAATATCACAATCTTTATTTATCAGATTCACGATCGAAGTTCAATCGTATAGAATTAAAAAAGAAAAGAAAATATGATCAAATAATTGCAGAATTGCAAAGGTTAGACAAAGGAAGAGAATTGCAGAATGATTTAAAATGTAAAGGCTTAATTAACGAAAAAGAAGGACCAATCAGCAGACAATGTCGGTCTGTAGGGATTTGACCGATCCTAGAAAACTGTGATCATCAGCAGTCAATGTCGGTCGGTCTGCTAGGATCTGACCGATCCTAGAAGACGGTGATCATGGACGACCTGCTCTTGCCAACGCCGATCCACTTCACTGCAAGCAAAATGTAATGAGACGAAGCTACTTGGCAACACTAAACAACATTGAGTATAGGAGTGAATAAGATGCAAATGACGATTTAATTTAAAGAACATTGACGAGTTGTTATATTACACACATGAATATTATTTGCTCACTCAAGACTTAGATTAAATCAATCATTTTACAGACAAGAGGATAAATCTTGGTACGTCAAAGTGCAACAATAACTGGCTGATAATAACGTATTCAAATTAAAGAGACAGGGTAGAATTGGTGAGGAAATTCTGTTGAAATAACCTTAAAATGAGATTGTTGCTTGATTTCTGATCTATAAGTAATTATTTGACTGAATACCGTATAGTGCCATTAAATAGCTCATCGAAGCATTGTCTAACTTAATGTAACTAGTTGCTAGGCGTTTAGATGCGGATAGCTTGGGAAACGGTTAATGTATGGCAAGAACAAGAGTTCAGGTAGCATATGTATTTGTGCATCATCCTGGGCACATCAGTCATGATATGACGAGTGAGACAATATACCTCTACGTCACTCTGACCAGACTCTGAGAGAGCAGTTCTCTAAAGGTACATGTAGGAGGGTGCCACTGATCAGGCACTGAGAACAGATATCTATAGACACATATAAATAAAAGGATGCCACTATATATACGTGCCACTATGTATAAACAAACCTGGCATTAAGAGCAGTTCTCTATAGATACATATATATAAAAGGATGCCACTATATATACGTGCCACTATGTATAAACAAACCTGGCATTAAGAGCAGTTCTCTATAGATGCATATAAATAAGAGAATGCCACCGTATATACGTGTCACTATGTACGTATAAACAAACCTGGCATTAAGAGCAGTTCTCTATAGATCCTTCTAAGTGAATGAACCTTTATCTACGTGCTACAACATATAAACTAACCAGGCACTGAGAGGAGACGCTCGATGTGCTGCACATACTGACGCGCCCTCTCAGGGAGCTCTGCGTACACGCGGCACTGGGACGTGTCTTGGCGCCAGCCTGGCAGCGTCAGGTACTCAACCTGCTCAATAAATATCAATTAACATTACATGGAAAAAATATAACTCAGTACTCACTGCAGTGAGTGACAGAGAGCGCATTTTCCCGTCAATGAAAACGCGAAGTCACAGACGGACAGACAGACAGACGGACGGACGGACGGACATGGTGAGCACAATAGTGCATTTTTTCCATAAATGAGAAAATGGGCTAAAAACAGGTCCATCGAGGTCAGAGTGGAACTCTATAGTTTCTATACAATTTAGTTGCTTGGTATTGCTCGACTGCTTCAGTGTAAAAAGACCACCATCATATCTATATAGACCTAGTCCTCATGTTTCAAAAGCATAAGATCTACACAACATGCACAAACAAACATTTAATTCCAAATGTTACATCTAATTGTACAATTATTCACCTCAAATAATTATACCCGTATGACACAAGTAGCTGAGGAAGTGATTTGGAAATGTATTACGATGATAAATTCTGAGGAGAATGACGTAATATTAACAGATTCATGCACACTCACACTCATTCAACATTTAGTTCTAAATGTATGCTTAGAAATACTAATTGACGTTAAAATAACAATTTAAAATAAACTCAAATAAAAGTTATTGGTGAAGGAAAACTTTAACATTTTTTCGGCGGTTTAAGGAAGGAACATTATAATCTTACGGTATTGAATAATTAATTGAAAAGGATAATATTGATAATGGCTGCACTCACAGTGATGTCCTCCAAGAGGCTCATGTCAGCTGGGAAGTATTCCATCACTTCGCCATTCTTGAGGTAGCGAACGCCGATCTTTATTTCTGCCGGCAGACAACTAAAAATTAGTAAGCAAACCATCAGAGTCTTCAATATATATTAATCAAGATAGCTCAATAATCAACTTCAGTAGCAATTGTTCTTGTTAAATTAGTATTGTCAAATAAATGTTACAATCAAGGAAAATTTCTAGCATAGGCAAGGAAACACATGATGTTTTATTGAAATGTTCACTGGGCCACACCTTCAAATTGGTCCAGAATGTCAAGTTTGGTGAGAGCGATGGCAGAGTATCCATTGATCATGTTAGTGTGGGCCAGCAACATCATGTCTAGCCAGCCACAGCGTCTTGGTCTTCCTGTGGTAACTCCAACTTCTCCTCCTTGCACCTGTAGTGTTTCTCCAATCTCATTTATCTGTTCCGTAGGAAACGGTCCAACCCCAACGCGAGTTGTGTAAGCCTTCACAACGCCATACACTTCGCCAATGAAGGAAGGAGGGATACCAAGACCAGTGCAAGCTCCACCAACGCTGCAGTTGCTCGAGGTCACATAGGGATAAGTTCCAAAGTCAATGTCCAACATTGCCGCATTGGCGCCTTCAACCAGAACTCTTTTGTTGCTACGAACGGCTTTGTGGATGTAAGCTATTGTATTACCAACCAAAGGTCTTAGCTTCTCAGCAAATTCTTTGTACCGCTGCAGTTCTGCTTCCACGTCAACTTTCAGTTCTGCAGGATGAAATAATTGTAAATCAAACAAGTTACTAATGAAATTCATACTTCCATAGTGACCAAATCTTTTATTAGTAAAAGAATACAATTGTTTGCTTCATGTCAAATGCTTGATATTGATCACAGTATGCATTTTTGAATGGATAATTTTTATCAAAATAGGTCTATCAGGCACTGATGGACCTAATTCTAATCTGATCAATTGAATACAGTAGAATTGAAGAAATGAATAGGTGAGGCTCTAGTCAGACAGTACTTGAAAACATGTTCTGATGAACCTATAAGCTGACCAGGAAACATGTTCTGATGACTGGCTACAATGCTACGGAATCTCGTCTCAAAACTGCTCTGGTCGAGGGCAAGAAGGTCTGCCATTCTGAGCCCTTGTCGTGAAGCCTTGCTGGCATAGCATGGACCAATGCCTTTCTTGGTAGTACCCAGGGATACAGACGTCTTTGATCGCTCTGACTCTTGCAGTCCATCAACACTCTGTAGATGAAAAAAACAATTGCTGGATATTTTGTAGTCATAATAATTAGGTATATTTTAAAGTGATACAGTAAATGAGATATTGACATTGATGCAGCACAAAAAAATATGTATTTGTAATGAGCAGAGTTCATTTCTATATCTGCACAGAAACAAAAGTCAATATTAATAATTATCAATGCATTTTCAGTAAATTTATTTGAACTTTGTGCATACACAATGCACAAAAAATTTATGACAAAACCTTCAGATTTATTTAAGGAATGGAATGAAAATGTCTTGCTAATAAAGGGAAATATTAGTTACATCAGATTGCTGATAATTATTCCAATTCCTATAAAATTTGATTAGCCTATAACATGGTAGCCACCTTAGATACCTATAGCAGTAACAACTAATTTTGAATACAAGATTGGAAACATATTATATAGATATATGGTACGGTATATCATCATTCTAATAAAATTTATATTATTAAAAGATATTATTATATTAGATTAACATATTAATAATATAATATAAGACTATTATAATATTTAGGAAGCAGGCTACCCACCTGGTGGAAGTCAAACACTATGTGGGCTCTGTCAGAAATGATGAGTCTGTTCTCCCAGCCTTTCAGGCCTTTAGCTTCATTTTTGGCAAGCTCTTCAAAAAGCTGGCCCAAATGAACCACAACTCCATTACCTTAAAAACATAGAAAGACAGTGATTTCCAAACCAAAAATTATACATCAAAATATCCGATTTCAAAGTTTTGTCATAGCTTTTGTTAACCAAAGGCTACAGGCAGGTGTGAAATGCTTCTTTCTGAGCCAAGACTGCAGCTTCCAGCCTATGAAGCTACAAGATTTTCAAGATGCAAATTGTGGCTGTAAGATTATAGTACAAAATCTGAACATTCTAATAATGGCTAGCCCCATTAACAAAATTTTTCAGGTAAATGTGCAATCAATCATTGAGAAATTAATTAACTAATTATTAATTTCTCATTGGGAAATTAATTTATTTAAAAATTTGGTAGCAACTAATTGCTTCTATGAAATTGAAATCTTGAAGCACCACTGTTAGCCTGTAACCAAAAAACTATTATCATTCAATTCCAGTCCATGACTCATTCCAGTCAATCAAGAAAGAAGATATGAGTGAAATCAATTTGCCAGCAACAATGTCAAGCATTGGAGGCAGAGACTGTGAATAAGTAGGATGTTGCTGTCAAGTTTGCAGTACTGAAGAGTAAACAAGGAAAGCTATAAGAGTTAATTGGTTCATTAATAATTTATGGAATTTGGAATTCTTGTGGTTAGGTCTTTGCACTTTGCAGATCATATCACTGAAAAAATCTTCAGAAATAGACTATTCATGTTTTTGAAGATTTTATCAAGCTTGCAGACAAAATCTGATGCATGACAAAATCTGCCAGACAACTGCAACTTGAAGTTGCAGTTGTTTGGAGGTTGGCAGCATTCATTAAGCTTGCTCATAGGCAAGTGTGCACAGTCTGCCTAGCAAGTGCAGTTATAGTGTGCAAGTGCAACTTATTATGAGTAAGCTAAATAATTTAGTCAATCAATAGACAATAGGGTATTACTTTAGATTATGTGCATCCAAAAAAAGGGTGTTTTTTTTTAATTATATGTTTTTTGGGGTGTAGATTAAGAATCTAAAATCGGTTTTTGGCGGTCGGCATCGGAAATTTTTTATGGAACCTGTTTCTAACTGGAAGTAACCTGCAAGGTTTTCATTGATTGGCTAGGTTTTTCCTATGTTTGGAGTCCGTCCGGCAGCCGGGAAAACCTAGCCAATCAATGAAAACCTCGCAGGTTAGGTCCAGTTAGGAACAGGTTCCATTAAAAATTTCCAATGCCGACCACCAAAAACGGAACTCAGATTCTTAATCCACACCCCAAAAAACATATAATTAAAAAAAACACCCTTTTTTTGGATGCACTTAATCTAAAGTATTACCGACAATAGCCAATGGGCTACTCTACAATTTAGTAAATGGTAGACTGTAGAGTAGCCCATTGGCTCTTGCACTGTCTGCACTCTGCACACATACATGGCAAAGTAGAATTATAAAAATAGTGGAATGTGGTTTATACATGAAATATTGGCAAAATTTCAAGGGAAAGTACAGATTCAGGTGGTAAAATCCAAAATACATGCACCTGTGAAGTTGTGAATTGTTTATATATTCTCAAAATTTCTGCCATCTGTTTCAACTGTAGGGGTGGAATACATCTACTTTTAACGGAAATTTCGCGGCCCGAGATCTCCCATTTATATGTAAGTTTGAAATCTCGCGGCTCGGAAGTCAGGTAAAATATATTGATTTAGAAATGTCGCGGCTCCGAAATGGGTCACGTGACGTGTGATGGAAGGGCTTACATACTAACCAATCAGGGACATGGCAGAAGCATTTATGATGCCTGATGGAAGGATGTGGAAGTCATACTCTGTGTCCTCAACCACAACAGTATGACCAGCATTGTTGCCACCCTGCAACAAGAGTAATGGTATAATAAACTATAGATATTCAAATAATCATTATAATGAGCCATTTAAGTATTAGTCAAGTATGATAAAAAGTTGAACAAATTTTAATCAAAACCTTAATTCTTGGACTTGGAGAATATTTATTAGGCATTAGAAACATTTTTGTACCTAAAAATGATTAATTACTTTGAAAAAATAATCACCTGACACCTGCAGACTACATCCGATTCAGTTGCTAGCATGTCGACTACCTTGCCTTTACCTTCATCTCCCCATTGGGCTCCCAAAACAACAGTAACCTTCGTTTCTGGACTAACAGGCGAGAACTTCAAGGCATCGTTATTTACATCAGACATTTTTGCAGGTCGTGCATCAACACTACGTAATTGCTTCTCTCTACAATCCCGCTCCTGAATGATGTGCTCTGAAAAAACTCCACGACTACACTCTGCAGTCCGCGCGCTCATACGAAAACAACAACACGGGCGACCGTTTGACCGACGACCTTACTGCACTTACGTCGTAAACTTAAAATTGCCTCAAAATTTACCCTAAAATATTCGGTCAGACTCAGCTGACTGACCTTGAAATTATGCTGAAGCAAGCCAGTTTTCAAAATTCACTCATAATAAATTTTCTTACAATTATAGAATTAAGGAAAAATCGAGGTATCGTTAGGTTGTGACATTATAGTTTTTCTAGATTGCTGTTAACTATTTATTTCCTGCATAAATCAGGGGGCTGTATATGAATAGCAATAACCTCACAAGTGGTTAAGTAATAGTGGTGCAGCGTTTATAATGCCGTAGGCCTGTCGCCGATCCTTAACGTCGCGCAACATTCACAGCGTGCGACGTCTCGGACAAATTTACGGCCGGACTCCCGGCCCATGGTTAATTCAACCATGTCGCGGCCGGTCTCCCCAAATTCAGTGAAAAAGGAATATCTCTAAAAGTAAATAACGTAGCTCGATGAAAATTGGTACACGTATTCATTAGGACCTAACAATGATGTTTAGCTTGTGAAAATTTTTCAGAATTCCACCTTTGTTCGTGGCGATACGTGCCGAGATTCGCAGTGAGCAAGAAATTTCTTGTAAACTACTGTGCTGTAAGTGTGTTTGAACGAAACTTTATATTTACACACCTAACCTCCCAACGGTGATGTTTAGCCCGTTACAATTTTTTAGATTTCGTCTTCGTACGCGAGTTTTTTTTTTATTTTCCCTCGTTCGTGATATAAACAGCAATACGTGCTTAAATTCGCAATGAAAAGGAAATTTCCTCTAAAATACTGAATAGAGTTGAGCGAAACTGCGTATATGAATACCTCATGGATGAACGTAAGTAGGACCCGTGGTTGAACTATATAAGGTTGACCCACGAGAAGTTCCGTCTTTCAATTCAGCTTTCTTGTTACGTCACGTAGATCGAGAAACGTAAAACCAACCGGTCATTTCCATGATGGATTGTTTGACTGGTTTGATCACATTTCGGTGATTGGCTAATGCCTGTGACGTCACTGAAATCAGTGACGTCCCAGGCAAAGAATGAACTACATCCACAAAAATGAGCTTCTGATAGGTCAACCTTAAACTAGTTCAACCATGTGAAAACCTAACTTCCTAACGGCAATGTTTAGCTCGTGGTAATTTTTTCGATTTTGCCTTCTTTTGCGAGTTATACGGCTCTTGGTCAATGCAAGTTTAGAAATCGTCCTGAGAAATGTCGTTCGTTTCTCCGTATAACTAAGCTTGTGAATGTTTGCAACTCACAACTACAAGTTTACTTTCCAGCCCGGCCTCCTTGCAGATTCTGAGAGGAAACTGTCGCACATAGCTGGGATCGAACCCACACCTCGGCCTCGCGACACCGACGTGTCGTAACGTCACGCACGCAGAAATGAAAATCCTCAGTATGAAGACTTGACTGCAGAAATGACACCTGATCGTCAAATAATTCAACTTTTGTGAATTTTGCTTTCTTGGACACCGTATCAATTGATGCTATTCTTTATTTAACATTGTGGAGGCACTGAGGAATTGGATTTTGGAAATTGGAAACTCGGGTCACACCCGGTCAGTCAGCAGGCAACAGCGGTGAAGTGAGGGTGTGCCGGTAGGTATGACACCCTCGTACAGTCGTACTTGGTTGAGCCTGAGGGATTTGCTTTATCAGACGAAATTGATTTTGGGTCTTGTCAAAAAGATGCCATTTTTTGTGTACTCTCTTTAACAATAGGTCCATATTTTATATCCTTCTTTCCATTTTGCAGTGAAATATTCTTCTTCTTTTGGAAACAATAATACCTACTAATTAAGATTTATTTGACATTCATTTTTATTCAAGATAAACCTTTGTAATTTGTGAAATAAATCAACCTTTTTTGAGATTGGATGTATTGAGGTGAAGATGTAGAATGAGGTAGGAAAGAAAGTTGATAATTCATGGAGTCTTAGTAAGTAGCTTGTAGTACTTTCAAAGTACTATAATAAATTCTATAATACAATAGGATATATAATAATAAGTATAATAAATTACTTTGTAAATGTAGGTTGTAGAAATAAAGGTAGATTGTATTTCACTCACACCATAGTGGCAAAGCAGAGAGTTTTTTAGACTCTCTCTCAAGTTCATTTTTGAGTCCTATAAGTAGACCAGTAAAGTATCCTGGATACCAGCATTATTATACTTAAGAAATTGGTTTAAATCTTGAGTAAATGAGGAAATTAAAAATGAACTGATTCTAAAAAGCTCTGGTTTGCCACTATGACTCACACTCTCAAGTTTCAACAAGTCAACATAGTAGGCCTATGTTGTAGTTTTTTTTCAGGCATGCTGGACATAATCAATTTGGCTAATGGAGCTGAAGTTGTTCAGCAGATGTGCCTGGTGAGATGTCTTTGCAGTCCAATATGTCCGGGAATATCAGGTGAGTAATCTACTGAGCTCTGATAGTGATAGTATTACTTACATTAATTACTGCTATATTTTAATGCTATTTCACTGAAATAGGAAAGTACCATGGAAAGAGGAAAAATGTTAATATGCAGGCAATGCCATCAATAGGAAATTCATTTTCTAATATAAAAATTACATGCAGGCAATGCAGCACTTGGTTCAGTTGGTTATGAATTGTTGACTGTTAAGTTTATGTACTGCAATATATAATTTATTAAAACTAGTCAATATTCAACTAATTTTGCAGTACTTTGTTACACTAAAGTGAGAAGTCTAATTTACCAATATTCTATTCAGTCATCAGTAATCAAGACAGAAAGTGGCTAAATGGGTCAATGTACAATAATTCACATATAGAGTTTTAGATAGTTTTACATACATTTATAAAAACTTAATTCAATTTCCACCTTATGATATTATTCAATTTTTTTCTTATAGCATCTATGTTGGTGCAAAGTTTTGCTGTATTGTTGTACATGCATAGTTACCGTATAACATTTGCATCCTTAAAATTCTTAAATCTACCTTTAACAATTCATCTTAGAAGACCATTAAGCTAAGTGCTCACTTTTCATATCTAATTTCTGATTTTACCGAAATATTTTTTATAAATTCATCTTGTTCACAACTTGGATGTTCTTGTTTGTTTGATGCAGGCAGTGTGACCCACAGCGCTGGAGGTGCAGTCTCTACATGCTCCTACTCAGTGGGTGACGATGGCTTCACTGCCCTGGTGATGCTGCAGCCGGGAGTGAATCACATAGTTGCTCAGTATGGCACACACATGGCAACCAGGCAGATTGTCTTCTCTCCAATTCAAATTGAAAGATTTGTCCGCCTTATCTATGTTACAAGTTTTGATGAAGACAAATTCCAGGTATACAAAAGTATTTTTGTTGAATTCAAGTTTGATGCCACAATGATGTGTTTTCTGTGGAATTTATTCTATTTGCCAACGATTCATGTTTGGAAGTTCAATTCTGGAGCTCATTTGCTAATAAGATTCATGTTCAGAAATAAACAATTACCTACATTTCTTTCATTCTCATATCATTACAGTGCTGAAATACTTACAAGTAGCCTCATTTCATACATACATTAATACCGGTATCATTTATATACTACCAGCAGTTGAACATGGTCAAATTGATACTCATAAGGAATGTCATAATAGTTCTTAGTCATTTATTACCATAGTTTTCTATTTTAATTGATCCCAATTTGCACTACAGGGACCTAAAGATATGGATCGTTCAGCCAATGCTGCTGTACGTCGCATTCAAACAGGAGTTTTGGCTCTGCAAACTTTCCTTGCTGAGAGCCTGCAGGAAGAAGGACTTGGAAGAAAAACTTTCAAGTTAGAGCTCACTCCTAAAGGCCTGCCCAAGGTAAGATATTACAACATGAACTTACTCATACCATAAATTTATACCTTGAATATGTGCTTATTGGCAACAAAAATACATTATGGATATCAGTTTCTTCAATAAATTAGAAATTGTTGAGGAAACTCTTCTACTTTGATGTTTTCAAATCTAAATCAAGTTGGAATCTCTTGATTCTGATGGTAAAGCCACATTGATCATTATAGATTATATTTAAATAAATATGCTATGTATGCAACTCTATTTACTCCATCTCTATAACTATAATTATCACTGAATATACACCGGTTACTTATGTGTCTTATGGTTGCAGGTTCACGTGCTGCAGCTGCCCCTACCCATGCATGAGGTGCAGAGGCAGCGAGAAGAGCGGCTGTGGGAGGTGGTGGCCATGCAGGTCTTGTCTACGCCTCACTTGGCCGACCCCAATTGCAAGTATCTGGCCTTCCTGGGTGCCACTCGCTACGCCAACCCTTCTGGGTCTCAGGTCAATAAAGTTGATGTTTTTGTCAAATTTCTTGCTTAGTTTGCACATAATTTTATGTTATTTTTTCATTATTTAATTAAAAAATTAGGTAAGCTTTTGAGATAAGCAGATAATTCATTATGCTTTTGGCATAATTAGAGTATGAAATTAAGTAATGAGTAATGTTATTTAATTAAGTAATTACTTAATTAAGTAATGAGTAATGTTAGTGTTTTTATGCGTACTATTATGAATGCTTATTGCTTTCTTCGTCATTTTTTAACACTATTTACAATTATTTCTTGCTTTGGATATCGTTTTCATATTGGATGACTAGTTACTTTCAAATTAGTGAATTTCAAATTAGTGACTTATGTAAAACGTGATAGATGAATAATTATTGTGTCTCAGGAGCAACTTTATGGATATTGTTATGTTGATTAAACCATTTCAACTCCAATATTTTTTAAAAATCTACAATGCCATTTTCTTCAGGCATTTGTTATAGGTATCATCCAGGCAACCTAAACATATTATTGCCTCTAGGATTCAAAATCTGTACTAAATATGAGAACTTGTGTCAGGTGTCTTCTGAGGCCACGGTGGTGTCCCTAACGAAGGGCCACGTGTCCCTGGGTGGAGGAGGCCTTGCCCTGGTAGGCACGGGGGCGCTGTACAGCTGGCCGGAGCAGCCCTCGCAGCTGTTGGCCGCGTTTGCGGACAACACTCCCGTCGACTCATCCCTTCTCATGGACTTCAGTGGCGGCAGGTGCTTCGGAGTAGTAATATTGCTTGTAAAAATCCCTATTTTGCCAAAATTAATGTTTAACTGGGAATATTCATAATTGTAATATATACATGTTGTTGTTACCTAAAATTACTTGCCTTTTGATTGTTGCTTTTGTCTACATCGACTCGTCCCTCCTTATAGACTTCAATAGCGGTAGGTGCTCCTTCATATTAATATTTCTTTCGATGTTAATTTTGTGGTAATTCGTTTTTCGTAAAAATTAACTAAGCTACTGGTCGAGCTTGTATTCAATTATAGATCATTTACCGCATGTTGCCTCTCAGAGGGACATGGGGCGCTTGTTTTGGCACCCATCTTGGTTCTGTGCTGCATGAGCTCGGCCACACCTTCGATCTGGGCCACACCAAGCACGGCATCATGGCGCGGGGCTTTGAAGACCTCCACATCTTCTTTACGGCGCCGCTGCTGCATTGCTCTTTTGCTAAGCACAATGCCAGGTTTGTGCTTTTTTAGCGCATTTTCTCATTTATGGAAAAAGGCACTATTGTGCTCGCTATGTCCGTCCGTCTGTCCGTCTGTCTGTCTGTCTGTCTGTCCGTCCGTGACTTCACGTTTTCGTCGACGAGAAAATGCGCACTGTCACTCACTGCTGTGATTTCTTGAGTTATATTTTTTTGCTAAGCATGATGACAGGTTTGTGTTTTTTTGGCTAAGCACAATGCCAGGCTGGTGTTTTTTTTTTGGATAAGCACAATGACAGGTTTGGCTTTTCTCATGAACTGTTTACTGTTCATGGCTTACCTTGTGTTACAATTTACATTAGGTGAGCTAAAATTGCAATTAGGATGACATTTAATTGGTATTTTTTTTCGATTTTGATCTTGTGAATGGAGGAGATCTGTTGAAATAATTTTATTTTCTCATTCGTTTGCAAATCAATTATGAAATGAAAATTTGGTCAATATAGAATTAAAAGTTAGAAGCATCAGGAGATTTTTAAACTTTTCTTCTAATCACGCGACCTTTATCCCCTTTAATCATTACTAAAAAACTTCTTTAATCTATTATCAATCTGGAAAATCCAGCATTAATTAATACTGCATTTATCGAATGAAGACAAAAAAATTAATTTTATTAACAATTTTCTTAGTGTTTTTTTTTTTCATTAATCAGAATAATTAATATTTATATCGCTGTATAGAGGCAACGCACGCGCCAGGCCCGTTAATTCAAAATGATCAAAACTCTTCTTCAATTATTAATAACTCACATTACAGTGTATTAATTTCTATTTATATGGCTATATAGAGGCAACGTACGCGCCAGTCTGTCGTCGAGCTCGCTGCTGAAGGAGCCTGTCACGTTCCGCACAGACTTCGTGGCGCGCCAGCAGCAGCCCAGCAACATCAACATGACCGTCGCACCCCTGGACACTGAGAACTTGTCTTCTGACACCTCCTCCTCTGATCCTCTCGACCCTGGTCATTAATTGCTGATATGTATATGTATGATACCATATATATATATATAAATATAGGCGTGGGAAAATGAAGCTGTAGCTTATAGAATGAAACTGTGGAACATTCTTCTCAATGAAGCTGAAAAAAAAGTAGGTAAATATTATGGTCTTTGAGAAACTATAAAACTTTCATTAATACACTCATCTCTATGAAACTTTCCCTAAATAACGCTAATATATTAATAACGCTTTCGCTAATAACAATAAATTTTAGAATAACGTTATTTTTCCATCTGAGTTTTGTATTCTTGAAGCAGACATGCTTGTCGCTACCGACCGCTTCTTGCGATTATTGTCTCCTTACCCTATCTATTACGGTATTTCATAGGATAGTATGTATTGAAGAACTGCTCCCTAAATTTGAGTATTACGAGCGACTGCTCTCCTAGTTGTGCTATTTCTGAACTGATTTTTAACCGATCTAAATCTAATATAGGTAAGCTATTCGCTGCTTATAAATGTTCATTAAGTTTTATTGTTGACAATTCCCGTTCTACAATATTCCTCACAATATTCTTTTTTCCTTCTGATTTCGCGGCATTCTCGTACCTGCTTTATAATTATTTTCATTTATTGTCACTTTATTATTGATTTACACGTTTGCTTTTAGCCGTTACTCTAAGAAATCATCGAAGTAATCCAGCGGGTTATTATGTAAAAAACGAAAAACTAAAAAGGTAACTTAAGTTCAACTTGTTTTCATTAGTTGAGTGCATTTGATTTCATTGAATTTACATCGATGGTGAATAATTGCAATATTTTCTTCCTTTAGACTCTTCAACAGAGTGCAGCAGCGGGCAACACCTCCCTTCTCTTGCCTTCAAGTGCAACCTACAAGGCGGCGTCGACCAGAAATGCTCTACGCCCCCCATTTGTGTCTCCTCTTCTGACGCTTCCACTCCTGACGATGGCCGCCGCTGGTGCAACTCTCCTCTCACCCCAACACACACCACCGCCGCTACCATCACCACCGACGCTTCCCCTGACTCGGGTGTTGGTAACAGTCGTCCCACTAACGACAACGCCGCATTCTCCAACAAACTCACGTCAAGTTTTTCGAACCTCACGACATCTCTGTACGACCTCGACTCGAGCGGAGCCAAGATGGAGGCGGATGGAAGTCCTGCTAAGATCATGACCGCGAGTTTCACGAACCTGAGTTGCGACGGAGGTGGGGTGCTGCCAGGGACTCGTCCTCCACAGGCGCTGAGCTCAATGCCCGACCTCAGTGAAGGGTATGGAGGCAAGAGGAACGCTGGCCGGTGGTCGTCCCCAGGCTGGAGGGGACATCGGGCCTGCAGTGTGAGCTGCAGGGCCTTCTGGGCCCGGGCCAACGCCGTCATGCTCGACTCGCACAAGTCTGTCGAACACTCAATTCTTTTGTGGACTAAGGCTCAGATTTAATTATTAAATATCAAGTTCAGTTGTAGTTTATATATCTATCAGTATTTAGGTGGTTTCATATTTTTTCTGTTGCTCATTTCATAATAGATAGAATCTCGTAGCATCGCGCAACTAGCTAGAATTTTCATTCTTATTTTCTAAATCCTTTTTGCAGGTGGCTGAACGACTTCAAGGATGGGCCTAAACCACAGCTGAAAGGGTTTGTCTGCTTTGCTTATAACAATAATTGTACGGAAACATTTGATCTATTTTGCCATGTGTCAGCAATCGTGTTTAATGAACCCATCAACCATTAACAAAATTCATATGAATGTATCCTGCGATCATACCCTCGAATAGACTCTTGACATCACAGTTTTTATTAATTTTGGGGGTTAATTTTAGTTCTTAGTAAATTAATTTGTTTACAGGTCAGTGATAATGGCGGGCCCGGGCATCCGGCTGGTAGAGCTGCGGGACCTGAACACCCTCACCTTCCACCACTGGGAGTGGCTGGGACGCAAGCCTCCCCCCGTGCTACACGTGCCCTGGGCCAGCGTCCCCAAGTGGCCACACGACAAGCAAGTACATCTGCTCGCCCTAGACGCCGAGGGAAACCTTCTCAAAGACTGCCTCATGAACAAGCCTTTATGATGTGCTTCCGCGTAGGAGTTCTGTTACTATGCGGTGCTTTGCTTATTTCTGCAGGTTTTATATAATTTAATAATTCCCTTTAATGATCATACATGAAGGAACCATTGCAGTAGTCAGTTGAGATTTAGAGTCAGCAAGCTTTCATGGAAGGCTTCGACTTGAAACTTTTTCGCTTTTATTTTTATCGCAACATAGCTCATTAATATAAATGATTATCTTATGTTGTTTTATGTGTGATCATATTGCTTGTAACATAGAAGTTTGGAAAGACTTGAAGCAAGCTGCACGATTTGAAAATACTTTTAGGACCTGAAATTTTGGGCTTCTTCTGAATTATGACCTTTTGTTTATGTTGAATTGGATGTTGAAATTCATGTTGAATTCGATTTATTTACGAGGTTTGATAATATAATTGTAGGATTGCCTAACCAGGCCGCCAAACTGTCTCCAGATGCAAAATATATCCTCAATATGTATTTGATTATGATTATTTTACTGGCATCGGTAGTTCCCAGTCGTGGTGGAATAGGCATAATAGGTACTATATATTAATGCTTCTTGAAGTGCTAATGCATTTTAAATGATCGTTTTCTCAGACTTGGTTATGCTTCCTCCAGCAAACATACTGAAGTAGAGCATACATTAGTCAGTATACCAGCTTAAAATTCGTGCTAATTTTGCTTTTGTTTAATTTCCGTTTGTTATAAGAAATGTTTGTTATAGGAAATTTCCGTTTGTTATAGGAAATGTGCTTTTATTTAAAAATCCCGTTTATGTTGTTCCTCACACTGCTGCTAATTTTCTTTTTAGTTTATTTTAATTTTTTCATCTCCGTACTGTGCATTTCTTAGAGGCTTCGCCTTCAACTCACATATCCTCGATGTTGCTGGCTCGAGACCAGCTCGTTTTCCGTGATATTTTGCCAAAGATAAATGTAACCGAGTCGTGTTCTGTACGCTAATTTTACTTATTTATTGATGTATAGACGATAGTTACTCAATATCTTAACGTAGAAGTTCAATCTCCACTAAATTTACGTGTGATGATTTCCAGCTTGTTATCAGCATTTGTTTTCAGTGTTCAATCTATGGATAGGTACTAATTATTTTCCCGATTAATTCAAATAAGATCTTCGCATGGAGTGAGTTTTTTGTTGTAAGCTTCAAGTAGCGATTCAAAACAGTGCCAGTTGGCAGGCGATGACGCTTTAATGTTAGATATGTCAATCCAATCGTGATCCGCGATGTTGACTGCTGTGATGAACCCTTTTTATTTTTAATGAACCGTTCTTGTTCTTGGATGTGTCTGGTCTTTATTCGCAATTAGCAGCTACGGTTTTTATATAGTTTTTCATTCCTCTTTCGTTTCTAAAATCATCCCCAAAACCCCACTTGTTTCCAAAAATTATATCCTTTCTCATCCCGTCTTTCAAAGAAATCCTGGCTTGCTTTTTCCTCATATATGATATCAGTGTTTTAGTTTAGTAGTTTTTGCTGAGCAGAAACCATTGTAATAAGTACCTATAGGTTCTTTTAACTATAAACTGAGCAAGAATAATTTTTGGCGGTTGCTGTAAGACATCAGCCGTAGCCATTTTACGGTCGGCTCTCGAATGTAGACTTTATGAAGTGCTGTGATAGACGCGAGACTTGGCTTCTTGTTCTCATTGTTGACAAATGCTAACAATCAATGTAAGGAGGACGAAAACATTTTCAATGGGATTGCTATTACAGCAGTGAATGATTCTCCGGGTGGCAATAACATCCTAGTTGTTTAAGATTTGTTAATGATTAAGAAAGGGTCATCAAATGATTGGTATGTTAGAAGAGTTGAATGAATTACGTTCATGTTAATGCGGTCACCGCTATTATTTGTACTGCTGCTGTTAATTATGTGGTATGTTGTGACGCAGCTGCTTTACATGAGTACAGATGCGCATGATCGTCCAGTCCCTTGCAGGCCGTGACTTGACGTAGGCTTAGCGCCCCATGTGTTCATTTTTGCGGCATATTGTGATGGATGTTGAAGTAAATTCTACATTTATTGCTGGCTGAATCAAACATGTGCGAGCAAAATCTTATCTGTTCACAAATCACGAGCATGATACTTAACGATGCTGAGGTTCCTGTGATGATACAATCTTATTAGCGTGGTTGTTCGCATGGCATTGGTATGACGAGTTTACCTCTTCGTTTTTATTGCTGGTTAGTTTGTTCAGAGTTGCTTGAACGTTTTACCAGTAGAGGCGTTCCTCTACAAACGCTCAAAGCATTTCCGTCGTGTATGAATAAATCCCCGCCCTTGGTTGAAAATTGCATGTAACTGAGCCCGAATACCGGTAAGACAGGATTTTTAAGCCCGCAAATATTCTATGCAGTTATGAACTACACTCCTTCATTGTTTTCTGATGGAGATACTTATAATTTGGTTCTTAAACGTTATTTTTCCAGTAGAGCTCTTTTAAATGAAGATTTATACGAACTCTAAAATGTATTGATGTTGCCATGATTTGGTATCCTGCACTGCTACGAAAATGTTGCTCTGCAAACGTTGTTGCCTCAGCCTGTTTCTTGCTGAGGATCAAAAGTTAACAAGTTACTGCCATTATCGCGTTTATTTTAAAGTCTACGGGGTAAATATGCTTGCAAGAAATCTTGAATAAATACCTTGTTTTAGCTTCTAAAAATTTTTTTAACACCGCATATTATCTGTGCTAAAAAAGGTAGAAAAGATCCGCGGAATTTGAAAACCCGAGAAGTTTTGAAGAATCAGCTTTGTTTCTGAGATAATTCAATTGCATAAATATTGGTTTGAATCCAGTATAGTAGGGAAGATGCGTGTGAACGAGCACATAAACCTCGTCTAACGGCTGTAGCCTGTCTTTATCAGCCCCTTTTATCGAGAACTAAATTGACATGGGTATATCTTTTTTCATTGAAAATATCAGTTATCTTCTGTATCTGTGTTTCACTTGTATTCTAAGGTTATTTAAATTAGTTAAATCCCTACCTTTAATTTCAAATTTTGTGTCTTCTCTTCAGAGATTATCGAAGCGTTCTATCACTCTGCATGAGCTCTAATATCAATGAACTGCCTCTTGTCTTGCACCAAGTTGTGCTATTTGTCTTAGTGTAGTAATAGGTCAAGTTAAAGAGTGGTGGTATGGAAAAGAGAGCAATTACCGGTATGAGAGAGAGAGAGTACGAGATATTAATTCTCGATAAATATGCCTTGTAGCCGCTACTATGTTACGTGTTGTAACTTCGTGGGGTGTGATGTTCCGAGGGCTAAAAACAACAACCAGGCAAGGGAGTTGTTTCTCTAAATTATTCATTGCCGATTCTATTTTAGGAAGTGCATAGTTTGCTGTGATGAATTTCTTGATGCTCATAGCGAGCATGGATCTAGCTTCTTTGATTGCTTTGTCTAATAGGATAAATAAGTAATTAATAACGAGGTTTCAAGTTGAAAGCAACTTTCATCGTAATTATGGCGTTTATAAAAGACAATTATCCGTTGCTGGCATTAAATACTTGAAGGCATTACAAGGCAGCTAGATGGTAACTGATGCTAAGGAAGCATCCAACACAGCTATGTGCCCCTATTATTTTAGTAGCAAAGCAAAGTATTAAATATTATGCATTCCAATGTTAGCAATGATAGTGTTTAGGTGTTTAGTATGTGAGTAATTGGACAAATTATTGAGTCAAACATTAGTTTAGATGGTGGTCTGTACCATTTTATCTCTATTATATGCCTTGTAGATGTATTATGTTACGAATAGTATTACTTTTATTTTAAATTGTGGGTGATAACGTGAAGACTACAATGACTACAACTGGCGGGTAATGCGTTATGACTACAACTGATGGGTAATGCATTATGACTACCATTAGTGGGTAACGCGTTATGACTACCATTAGTGGGTAATGCGTTATGACTACCATTGCTGGGTAACGCGTTACTAACGCGATGCCAGACTTGTGCTTCAGAGTACAGTATTATTGTACGTGTGTTGTGCTCCTGCTATTACATGGCGTCTGCGTCACTACTTGCTTTTGCCTTGCAATTATGACACAAATCTATTATGAATATTATTATTATTAGGAAACATACTTTTCTGATTTAATCATGGCATGGCAGAAGATAATTGTCATTGGTACATTGTGCAATTTTTTTGTAAATTATGTTTAAATTTATTGACGATGTAGAATATGGCTCAAATTTTTTCTCATACCTTCAACATCATTCGTGAAGCTTTCTCTCGAATTGAACAATCTGCTATTGCTGCTTTTACGTCATACTCAGGATTTTGTTTTATATGACCTATATTATAAAATCTTGATAAAGTTTTTCATCTAAATTTCATATTAAATTAGTTGGTCTACGTGCCCCTAGGCAATACTGTATCCCACTGTGTCTGATTTAGTGGTAGCTTCCTTTTGTAACTTGGAGAGCCTTATGCACGAGGATCAAAGTTCAGTGTATGTATTGTAGTTGAATTAATGATCTATAAACTAGTCACGAGGGCGTGGTGCACGAGTAGCCTATCGTCAAGTCTTTCTATTAAAGATTCGTTCAATTTATTTAATTATTTTTCCTATTTATTTAAATATTTATTATACCTCTTTATAGATTCTCTCAATTTCTGATAAGATTCTTCACATTTTTCAAAAGGTTATTTTTATTTTTTGAAATTAGTTCTTTTTGAACGATTATTCATTTTCTTCGAAGATGCTTTCTATTTCTTTAGAATTTCTCTTTTTCTAGAAGTATTATTTCTATTTCTCTAAGGAACTTTTCTATTAATCTTAAAGTTCTTTCTATTCGTAAAACACATTATTTCCCTTACCAATTTTTGTAACTTTTTCTCAAAATAGATGCCATTCCGCCTTTTGAACCCATAACACTCATGCCTTCATTGAAGAAGTCTCCTATTTTACACTTAAATATATTGAATTTCTTATATTTTGCATTACATAAGATATAGAATCTTGAAATAATTAGTTTCCGGTAATTTGACGCTTACGTGAAAATATTTTGTTTAGAGGCAATCATTTCGTGAGGGACGTTATTTTTATAGTCAAATTATTTAATATTTATTTATTGAGTTAATATGTATTATTAATATTTGCATATAAATGCTGTATTGGTATTATCATTTTTCTTATTCATTGTGTACGCATCATCTATCTAAATAGTATCTAAGTTACACTGCAAAATAGCGTCGCGTTTCAAAACACATTCAATGAAATCTTTTGTAGTTTATTTTACGTGATATTATTTTATTCTATATAATTTCAGTTCTGCTGCGGCCCATGAATTTTTAATTCAGTTTTCTTATCAGCTGCCAAGTATGAGTTAAAACTTGCATTGGAAATTCACGGCGTCTGAAGCAATTATGGTCGTCTCGCATTTGTACAATTTGGGGCCGCTCGCCGGCCCGCTTTCCTCTCTGCACTTTGGTCGTATCAGTAAAATATGTGCAATCAAACGCCGTGTTTCTGTATCCTAAGCAAACATATCATAAGTAAAAATTTAAAATAAAAAAGAGGTGAATTTATTTCAAAATTTCTTCATCAGTTCAAAGATGGGGAAAAAACAGTTGAAAATTCACTAGTTCTGTAATTTCGCACTGATGATGGAGCTGGTCTCCCAAACGCTTGCAATGAAGATATTTTTGATATACTTGGCGTTTTCTATGCTTTTAAATTCTTGGTGATCTTGATATTTAAGCAGACTAATTATATAAGAAGGTAAAATAAGATTTGATTATTATGTGAAATTGCATCGTCGTCTCGGCTGCAGTTGGCGTAATTTTCTGAGCGATAGAGCCAATGAAAATATTTGAAATTAACCGCAATCTTAATCAAGGAGGGTATGTATTAGCATGTTAGATCTCATCATGTAATCTATTCAAAGTTACCCAAACCTAGAGGATAATATAATTTGTAAAAATTTCCGTTTTTCTTATTCTCATGACAAAACAGTTTTAAAAATTAAAAGCGTTCTCCAGAAAAAGCTAAAAAGATTCCGAGCGTATAACTTGAAGGCCTAAACCAATTTCTTGGCTTCAACTTGCAGGTTGGTCGAGCCCTCCTCAGCCATCGAGGTTTGTGAAGACTTTATGGGGCTTGTCCCTTGAAATTGACAAGACGAGAACATTAATTAAGTTTTATTGCGAACGATGACCACTGGCGCCAAGGGCGGCTCCAGCGCGGTTATTTTTTTTCGGATTTTCTTAAGAAATTCTGATGTGGAGCGAACTTTGTGTCATGAGATCTTGTTCTTGTTAAAACAATGTCTGGTATCGACGACGTCTTTCAATGTCGCGTAAAGCTAAGCTCCTTTGTCGTAAATTCCCACGTTTACGATCGCACTCCAATCTTCTAATTGGCCCCCAGACAGTTCGATGTCTGCCTCTGCGATCCGGGATGAAAAAATTCGTTACGGCTACGTACTAAAATTCGCATTTTTTTCAATGCGTGTCTTTGCCCGGAAATTATTAAAAATTATTCCTTATTATTTTCAATTTATTTATATAAATTTCATTAATAAATAAGTTGCAAAAATTCATATAATGAAGTTAATATAGTCGCAATAGAAAATCTAAAACTGCAAGATTTTCATCGCATTCACAAACTGAAAGAGGGTCGTGAAACTTGAGCAGTTGAAGTCTTTAGACAAGCACTCAATTCAGTCTCGTTTATAATCAAAGTTAATTTATAATTTTTTAAAATTAACCGTTTATGAAGAACGTTCTAAATAATTTCCGATTGCTTTGACAAAACTTCGGAAGTAAAAGTTCCGCTCTTCCCGAGCTCAGGCACGTAGATAGCGAAGGATATTGTGATGTCTGTCTCTCACGGCCATTAGATAAACCTTCTAAAGTTGCGATAATTTCCTGATGAACATAAAACTTTTTAATGCAGGAAACTTTATATTCTGAGGAACGGCTGTCGATGACGAAGTTAAGTTCTCTCCTACAAATTCTAAGAAGAATCATTGAGCAGGTCGAGGTCATTTGCATTCATGGAAGCAGTGCCGCTTCAGGTACGCGAGCAGTCGAACAGTTTTTAGAAAACTTCAAGTTATGTCTTCAATTTAAAAAAGAAATTAAGTAAAGTGGTCAAAGGTGCCGTAAAAGAAAATTAGGATCAAATGAAATGAAGACGGGGATAAGTTTTATGCACTTATGGAATCATATCGATTTGGAAAATCATTTTTTTTTCGCAAAAAATAATTGATCTTTTAATAACTTTGAAAAATGCTTAATTTTCATGAAAATTTATTAGGTTTCCTTGCAGATAATTCGTGATATACATTCAATATAATAAAAGGAATCAAACTTCGCCTCATTACTGTGTAAAAATGCCTCGTTTTCACGACACTTCCAAGCCGATAACTCGTGATATGCATTCAATACG